TCCAGATTCTGACAAACGAAATGCCTTCAACGTCATCAAGGGCGTGTGCATTGTCGGCCGCAACCCTTCACTGCATCCAGGAGATGTCCGCGTTGTGGAAGCGGTCGACGTGCCTCAGCTGCGTCACATGAAGAACGTGGTCGTCTTTCCGAGCACGGGCGATGTCGACGTTCCGAGCATGCTCTCTGGAGGTGACCTGGATGGCGACGACTTCTTCGTCATCTGGGATCCGAACTTGATCCCTCCCGTGTGGAACTTTCGGCCGATGGACAACGTGGCGCCGCAGCCAAAGGTCGTTGATCGGGACGTCAATGCAAAAGACCTCAGTGAGTTCTTCGTCAAGTATATGCGCAATGACTGCCTGCCCCTCATCGCGACGTCGCACTTGGCCAGCGCAGACTACCTAGAGGGAGGCGCCATGCACACCAAATGTCGGTAGTCTTCCCCCTTTTTCTGAACATTTCGCTTTCAGAGCTGACATCTTCACAGGCCTGCAGCTTGCCAAGCTCCATTCCAAAGCAGTGGACTACGTCAAGTCAGGCGATCCAGCCGAGCTCGGCCGCGAGCTTCGAGCTCGCAGATGGCCCCATTTCATGGGCGAGCGCCGCAACAAGAACTCCCTCTACCACTCGTACACGGCCCTCGGACAGATCTACGACAGGGTCCAGGACGTGCCGTTCAACCCGCTGTACGAGAAGAAGTTTGACCGGCGCATCCTCTCGCGCTTCGCGCCGATCGACAATGCGGTCCTCAAGCAGGCGCGCCGCCTCAAGTCGACCTACGACACGGCCATGCGGCGCCTCATGGCCCAGCGCGAGGTGTCGACCGAGTTTGAGATCTGGACCGGGTTCCCGCTGTCCCGGCCGCGCGTCGGCAACGCCTACAAGCACTCGGAGGACATTGGCCGCGACGCCGGTCTCCTGAAGCAGTCCTTCCGCGACGAGGTGCACGCCCTCGTCGGCGGCAGCGGCTACGACAAGGTCGCGCCGTTTGTCGCGGCCATGTACCAGGTCACGGCCGAGGAGGTCAGCATCGCGCTGCACCGCCGCCGCGAGGCGCACAGCGTTGCTGGCGACCCGGAGGCTCTGCCCGGCCGGAAGAGGGACATGAAGGGCATGCCCCTCATCACGTTCCCGTGGATCTACCACTGGGTCCTCGGCCGCATCGCGACGGACGACGCGAAGACGAGGCGCGACGTTGTCACGGATAACGCCTTCGACCTCCATCACGGCGCTGGCACGTTCAACCGGCAGGAGGAGCTGTCGCAGCCCAAGCCGAGCGGCCGCCTGGCCGTGCCTGCCTACGAGGACGTGGAAGCGCTCGGGGAGATTCCAGGCGCTGAAGGACATGCTCTCACAGACGACATGAGCAAGATGGATCTCCTCACGTTACCGGACGGACGTCTTCTCCATCGCGGCCAGGTCCTCCACCTGTTCGACAGTGATTCCGAGGAAGAGAACGAAGGCGCCCAGGACGACGGGACGGTCTACGCGCCGCCGTCTCTTGAAGAGACACAGGCCACAGCAACTACAAACAAAGTCTCCGCACAGGAGGACACAGGAATGGCAGCCACCGACGAACCACCTCAAGGCCACGGCAGCACCGGACACGACAGAAAGGAGGGCCCCGAGCACGATCGAAAGGAGGGCACCGAGCACGATCGAAAGGCCGACAAGACACGCGACACGCCAGCAGTGAAGGAGCAGAAGACGAACAAGACGGCCGAACAGCAGGCTGCGCTCCAGGAAAGCGGCGACAAGCTAGACCCCTTCGCCGCCATCTTCAACATGCAAAAGATGCGCTGGAACGCGCAGCCCTCCTCGGCCCAGGAGACTCGCCCGCGCGAGCCCGTGAGCCGGACGCCGCCGCGTCGCCACGCACCCCCTATCCTGAGGCCGGTGAGGCAAGATGCTGCAGCAGGGCAAGCCGTGGCGGCCGCTCGAGCCCAGGAGCCCCCTGACGAGACACATCCGGCCATGCCGCGGACTGTCGAGACGGTCGAGGCTGTCGAGGAGCTCGACCGCAGCAGCGCTAGCGACGACGGCGATCAGGAAGGAGGCACCCTCTTTGAGCGGTTTGACAGGCTCATGGGCGGCAGCTGAGCAACGGGGAAGCAATGCACGTGTAACACGAAGACCCGGTGATAGCTTAGCAATACAACAACAAATGATTACATCTCGGTCGTGGAGCATCCTCCACGGCATCCTACCCGGAGCCTCGCGGCGCGCCATTATGCCGGTCCTCGTAGGTCTCAGGCAGATCAAACAGATAGTTGCCAAAGCGAAGGGGGGGAGGGAGGAAACAAACGGTCGGCCGCGGCCTGCATGCAGCAGTCCAACGCTCTCGTCGTCTTTTCTCTCATTCGTCGTGTTTTCTGTTTTCTCTCCCCCCCTTTCCTTCCTTTCCTTCCTTTCCTTGCATCCCGGTACTTTGCAAAGTCTTCATCACCTCCGAACGCAAATGTCGGTCCGCAAAATCCACTTCTCGCCTGCAGTAACCTGGCGCCCTTCGTGCTGTAGTACGCAAGGTACCCGCGTTCGTCAGTCTCAAGAGCTTAGGGCCCGGGGGGGGAGGGGAAGGGGGGCGTGGCGGGAGCCGAGCGGCGAGGAGAAAGGGTAGATGAAGCAAAGACTTGGCAGCAAAAGGGAACGAAGAAGGCACGAAGGGGGGTGGGTGAGCCGGAGCCAGCACACGGGTGCTCTGCAGCAGGGCAGCTTCGCTCCTGGTCTGGTCTTGGGGCCCCGCCGATTGTTTTTCTTTTCTGTCTCGCCCCCTTCTCGTCTTGCTCGTTCTGCAAACCATTCAGAGTGGGAGGAGCAGTGAGGGGTAGGGCAGCTTGTGTGTGAGAGGCAGGCCAAAACGGAACAAAGAAAGAAAACACACAGAGGGGGCGGCGAGCCGAGAGACAACGGGGGGCCGGGGGTGGGGTGGGCAAGGTTGTCGAGTCGAGTCATCGGGCTCGACTCAGAGGAATCTGTTGTTTCTTTTTCCCAGAGCTTGAAAGGGTAGGAGGGAAGGGCAAACCGGGAAAGGAGGATAACAAAAGTGTCAAAATGAGTTGACTAGGGCGGCTAGCCAGCGTCGCTTCCACGAGACCAGCGTAATTATGAC